ACCACAATGGTACTAAGAAGTCAAAATGACCAGATTTCATCTCTCATACTTTGGACATATTATCAGGATGGACCAGTCCTTGGGGAAAGACATCATTCTTGGTAAAGTGAAGGGTCAGAAAAAAAGAGAGAGACCCCCAACAAGATGGATTGGCACAATGGCAGCAGCAATGGACTCAAGTGTAGCAGCAACTGTGAGACTGACACAGGACCGGGCAGTGTTTTGTTCTATTGTACATAGGGTCGCTATGGTTGGGAACCTACTAGACAGAGCCTAACAACAACATGGAGGAGTTCTTATCTGTCCTATAGAGTCTCTATAAGCTGGAATCACCTTGATGGTAGTGGCTAGGATTTCTGTTTTCCAGGTAGGGATACAAAATTTTAGAGATTTAAGTATAGAGATGATATAGTTAGAATAGAATGGAGAAACACGTCAAGGCCAGATTTTCTTGAATTCAAATACCAGGGTTTTATCAAATGTGTTGTACTCTATCAGTGGCCAGTAAGGAGAGCTATGCAGTAAGAGAAAGTCTGGACTGAGTCTTGGTCATAGTGGTTTTCATTCTTAGTTCTATTTTGAGTACATGCAGATTCAAGCAAAATGGGTGTATAAGGAGTTTACAAGTGAGGTCGATAATTCATGCAGAGATTAAATGCTTTCCTCTAGGTCAAGCATGCATCTAAGAAACCCAACTCAATTAGAATGCAAGTTAGGGAAGGTTGGACTTAGAAACTGGGCTGTTTTCCAAAACTATGCCATTAACCTAGAAACTAAGCAATTGCTTCCTTTCAACAGTAATATAAAGGATCAGTGGTAACTAACTAGCTACTGCATTGTTGAAATTTTGAATTATCATGACATATCCACCAATTATTTATTTCACATGATTTTCTTTTCTAGAAATTTTTTCAGAAAAATATGTCATAAAAATTTTCACAAATGAATGTTATTATTAAAACTGTAAAAACAAGATGTAGGTGAACTGAGTACTATACGCCAAGGAAAGTCACTTTTTGGAGGTTCTAGGATAAAATAAAAAGCTATGGAAGTGACGTCAGCATTTAAGTAGCTTAATATATTCATTTTTCAGATGAGAAAACTGCCAAATTTCAGTTTTCTGCACACCAACTTGTGGCTTACCATATTTGTGTTATAGTTGGAAAGGCACTTAACTTTTCTTTAACCTCAGGTATTTCACCTATAAAAATCAAAAACCAACCAATTCTCATGGAGTTAATTCTGACTTATGGCAATTCAGATGTGTCAGGGTAGACCTGTGCTCCAGAGAGTTTCCAGTACTGTGTGATCTTTCAGAAGTAGACTGTCAGACCTTTCATTTATAAAGAATGGATGATAATAATAAAACATACCATAAATGGTTAATTAATTACTAAATGGAAGAATGAATAGAAATCACACAGGGTATCACTTGCAACAGGAGGACTTTTTGCTAAATGTTGGCAAATTCCAGTTTACATCAAATATCTCCTTCAGATATCTGTTTAATATTTCATGTCATCCATGAAGCAGCTCCCTTTAACTCACATGAGATTGCTTTCTTTGACTCCCCTTCACGCTGTGCTAGAAATTTCATCTCTTTAATTATTAATGCTTAAGTAGCTTATTTATGTGCAAAACTTTGATTATAAATTAAATTACAAGTTCTATGCATAGTCTAGTGTGGTGCTGTAGGATAAGCAAAGTCGGCAAT